CCACCGCATCACCTCTCCCGGACCTCTCCCGCTCACCTCTCCCATCGCTCGCCGCCGAGATTTGTTCACCCGCCGCGGTTGCTCGCAGGGCCTGCCTACGTCTCACCGTGCTGCTCACTCCCACCAACCACCTGGGCATCGCTGCGGCTCATCGGGGCTTGGCGGACCTTGACAGTGACGTGCTGCAGACGACCGCACCAGCCTGCGAAGAAGGAGGGGTCGGTGCGCGAGGGGGGGAACAAAAACAACCTGCGGCATGCCAGGGCAGCGGGGCCAAGCGGCGAATGAGGAGGAGGGGGAGGGGGTAGGAGGGGAAGGAGGAGGAGCTTTCATCTTCACCCGTCTCACTTCGTGCGTCCACCCGTCCAGCAGGGATCGCCCGGATCCATCGACAATGGCGAGGTCCAGTGGCGCCCGTCACCGCTGGACGCACTGGCGGGCCGTCTGCCGCCGAGTCCGTGCGCGGACCCTCGCAGGCTGTAGGCCACCCGTGACTGCGTCGGGAGGCAGCCCGGCGCCCGGGCGCGGGCGACTTACTTCGAGCTCTCACGGGACGGAAGTGCGGCCTCGGTCTGCAGTTGACACGTGGACCAAGAGCAGCCCCAGAGGGATACCCATCGTGCTCTTCATGTGTGGGCAATTGCTCTTGACATGCTCTTTGCATGTGGCCCTCGACATGATCTTCGCTTGCCCACGATGCTTCGCCCTGATGTCAACGATGCATCGTCGATGGATCCCCCCGATGCCTTTTTTCCGATCTAGAGGAGCAGAACAACTGCATGAACATATTTCTCGGAGATCCGAGCGGATTTCTTGGATCTGCGCTGGACCCAGACCACCTCGATATGCTCTTCGCTTGGGGCACTTCGGTGGGGCACTCGCGTTCTTGTGGCCACGTGCTGGCTGTAGCTGCGAGTGCGCTGAGCCCCAGCTCCGCCAGGCCCAGGCTTCACACGCGCCTCGTGCACTGCACGCTTGCAGTCTTCTCTCTTGCGTGGCTGCGCGCCACCGTCCGGCGGCCACTCGTGATAGCACGACGCGCTGCGCTTCCGCGGCGCACGCCGCGTTCCTCGCGCCGCTCCTTTGTGGCACCGTGGCCGCAGCCCATCCTGCGGTGCAGCAGCACGTGGCAGGAAGCCGGGCACGCGTGACGCGACCGGCATGGACGAGAGCGGGACACGTGGCCCGACGTATTTCCGGCGTGCGGCACCTCTGCGGCCGGGTGCGCAGGGCTTCTGCATGCGTGTTCGGCGCGCGGCCTCCGGATGTTCCGCGCGTGAGCCACGTCGTTTGGGCCTCCAGCTTCCCGGTCCGTGGGGTGCGGTCTCTCACCGCGTTGCTGCTCGATGGCGTCCCCTGGCGCGGCTGCTTACCAGACGCCACGATGCGCACTGCTGCCGCGTTCTCGCGCTCCATTCGTTTCGTCGTGCCCGGGCATGCGTGCCCGACTGGCCCCATCCGGCCTTGTCCGGCATCCATCAGTTCGAACACCCATCCATCCAAGACGCTGTCGGCTCACACAGGGAAGCTGGAAAAAGGTGCCAGGGCCAGGTTTTCCACTCTTTCCAGGATTGTTCCAACCCTGGCAACCTCTCCCCAAATGTTTCGGGCTTGTTTCAGCCTTTGCCAGTCTTGTCCAGCCCCTACCACTCCCCGCTTTCGTGGAAGATCCAACCTCAGCTGTTTCCAGCTCCCCTGCAACTATTTTCGAGCATCTGATTAAGAAACCTCCTCCCGAGAAGCTGGGCCAGCGTTCCTTGACCGACTTGCCGAAAAGCTGGCCCAGCTTCTTGAGCACGTTTGTCCCTCCAGTATTAAAAGCAGGAATTGGCCCGGGCTTGTGTTACGAAATTTTTGGGAATTTGGTGCAGATGTCTTATCTGATATGTTTCTTGATCATATTCTCTGCTGCACTGCGCACAAGAGGACGAGGAAAACAAGAAGGAGCAGGGCGAGCGGGGGCAGGCGGGGAACGACCAGAGGGGGGGGGCAAGACAAGGCGCCCCTCTCCAGAATTTGGTCCGGGAGGCGCCGGACCAGACAGACTGCAACCCCCAGGGCGGCCCCATAGGGACGCCCCCTTGCGATGCCCGCCTGCCAGCCCGTGGGAACGGGCATCCTCACCGATCGGGGAGGCCAGAAAGCATCGGGTGGTCGAGCGGCGCGCCTAGTTCCGTCGGGGATTGATCTTGGCGCACGGGTGCGCCTCGAGAGGTGCCCATCGGAAGCCTATCGTTGGGTGCCCGTCCCCAGCTGGACAGATGCCGACCAGATGCTCATATCAGGTGGACGCGAGCCCATGCCAGTAGGAGGAGGAAGAGGAGGAGGAGGAGGAGGAGGACGAGAAGTGTAAACCCAAGGGTCATCAACGATGTTGGTATAAACCCTCCCTCCAAGCTCTCTCTTCATAGGCCTCTGCAAAGGTTCACTTCCACTAAGAGAGCTGCCTCGTTGGAAGACAACCGTTTGAAGACCCTGAAGCATGCCAAAACATTGTTATCGGTATTCCAACGCCGCGGATCAACCCGACCGTTGCGTCTTGACGATCCTGGATCGTGCCAGAACGCCATTTCTGGGAACTCAAGAGAATCAACGTACCTGTTTCGCCCTCGTAATCTTGAATCCTTCCAAAACAGAATTCTGGTACGTCGGCAATGGGAATCCGTCAAACTCGTGCAATGAAATACATGTGCGCGGCGCTAGAGCGAGAGCCACATTTTGAAAAGGAGCTGCCCTCAATGCGTGAAACTCTTGCAAATCCTGAAAAAGAATGTGCGCGGCGAAAGAGCAAGAGCCACATTTTGAAGAGGAACCGCCCTCAATCCGTGAAACTCTTGCAGAGGTTTGAAGCGAATGTGCGCAGCGCGAAGGCGAGAGCCACATTTTGAAAACGACCCGCCCTCAATCCGTGAAACTTTTGTACATGTTTAAAACGACAATGCGCGGCGCTACGGCGAGAGCCACATTTTGAAAACGAATCGCCCCCAATCCGTGAAACTCAAGGCGAGAGCCACATTTTGAAGACCACCCGCCCCCAACCCGCGAATCTCTTGCAATGTTTTGGAATATACGCGGCGCTAAGGCGAGAGCCACAGTTTGAAAACCGCCCGCCCTCAATCCGTGAAGCTGCTGCCAAGTGTTAAGCTTCAGGGTCACACATGGTGAGGAATTCTCAGGCGAAACGCCCAGCCCGCCGTAAAGACTGGCCTCGGGGTGCGACAGGCGGAAGGTGTGTAGAAGGAAAAGGAATGTAGGAGGCGGAGGCGGAGGCGGAAGAGGCGGAGGAGGAGGAGGAGGAGGACGAGGAGGAGGAGGAGGACGAGGAGGACGAGGAGGAGGAGGAGGAGGAGGAGGAGGAGGAGGAGGCGGAGGCGGAGGCGGAGGAGGAGGAGGAGGAGGAGGAGGAGGAGGAGGAGGAGGAGGAGGAGTGGCAAGCATCCGCCCCGAGTCCTGACCCCTGGACGTCCCCGGCGGCCCTTCGACCTCCCAACAAGTCGTCCCAGAGTCCTCTCTCCCCGAGCCTCGAGCCTCGCGCCTCGCGCCTCGCGCCTCGAACCTCGCGCCTCGAGCCTCGAGCCTCGAGCCTCGACCCTCGCGCCTCGATCCTCGAGCCTCGATCCTCGATCCTCGAACCTCGCGCCTCGATCCTCGATCCTCGATCCTCGACGATCCTCGAGCCTCGAACCGCGGGCGGCGCACGGCGGCGCGGGGCCGCGGTGCGGCCGAGGGCGGTGCGTCGTCCGGCGGTTCCACCGCCGCCGCCGTCGTCGTGCGCGCCGCCGTCGATGACGTGCGCGCCGCCGTCGCCGCCGTTGCAGTGCGCGCCGCCGTCGGTCGATGGGCAACACTTGGCTCCTCCCCCCTCGAGGTCAAAAGGCTCGGCACCCTCCGTCCTCGTGGGACTCCCTCCGTCCTCGTGGGCCTCCCTCCGTCCCGTCGGGGGTGAGACTTGGCCCTCCCTCCCGCGGACAGGGTCGCGTCGCAAAAGAAGCACGGCGGACGGCTTGTGCCAGTGGTTGACCTACAGGGGCCCGCGCCGTGCCTCGAAGTGAAGGTTTAGTCAAAAAACCTCCCTCGGGGTCGGGCCTTCTCAGGAGGCTCGGAAGTCCCGCGGCCTTCTGAGAGGGTGCCCGAGCCTTCCCCGGAGACACAGAGAGCTTCTCGGGAGGCGCGAGGGCTTCTGAGAAGCCCCGCCGCCTTCTGAGAAGGTCTTCTCCTTCTCACTTCCCCCCCATCGCTCGCCGCCGATTCCACGGACATGCTCGCGTCGTAAAAGAAGATCATGGCGGACGGTTTTTGATAGTTGTTTGCCTCCACCAGGGGCACTCGCCGGGCCTCGGGACCGTCAAAAGACGATTCAGGATGAAACATCCGGCCCAGGGAAAGGGTCGGAACTTCCGTGGACCCCGCGTGGAACAAAATCAGGACGTCGCACGTCTGGACCTCGAGGGCCCCCACCCCACCCCTCCGTCCTCGGGGGCCCAGGGGCAAAGCTTGACCACAAACCCACGCATTTGGAGCGAGAGGGGATCGAAGCGAATGTATTTCCATGCTCTCGACCGTAGTGTGCATGGCGGCGCCGCCACAGAACTAGGTCTGTGACGCCGCCAGGACGTCGCACGTCTGGGCCTCGAGGGCCCCCACCCCACCCCTCCATCCTCGGGGGGCCCAGGGGCAAAGCTCGACCACGAACCCGCGCGGGCGAACAAGAATGCCCGCATCCGCGGCCCCGCGGGCCGGGCCCCCTCGATCGGCGACAGGCCCTGGAGAGTGAAGCCGCACGCTCCTGGTCGAAGCCACTACGAGAACTTATTCTTGGTTTAGCATCAATCGTTATTAATGCAAATGCATTACCAACACATATGATTGGGAATGAGCAGAAAATGTCCCCCCCCCCCCCCAACACCACTGCCCCTGAGCTCGTGCCACCCTGTCCCACCATCCCCCCACCGCTGCCCCCGTGCTCGATCCCTCCTGCCTCCGAGCTCGTGGCACCCCCGAGGCGGCCGTCGGCCGAGGCGGCGGCCTCCGAGGAGCCAGCCCTCGGCGATAGCGAGGCGGCCTGGTCGGAGCCGGAGGCGCGCGCGGCCGGGCTCGGGGGCGACGGCGTCGACGGCCGCCGCCGCCCGGGTCGCAGAGGAGCAGACCCAGACATGCTCGATTCTTGAGAAAATCATGACGGAAGAGGTTGTTCTTCGCTTTGGGCCTCCGGGGGCAAACAACGACTCAGGATGAACCACTGGCCCTTGGGACACGGTCGGGATTTCTGGTGACCCCGTACTGAAAAAGTCAGGACGTCGCATGCATGAGGAGGAGGGCTGTTTGGGACATGGGTAGCGGGCCTTCGGGGGCCACTGATCGTCAGGGCTGGACGCTGCTCGAAAAACTGCCGGGGACCGATTGGGAGCCGAATTTGAGTTTCCAGTCGTCCGTCCTCCCTCCGCGCTCGAAGGCAGGAGGCTCGAAGCCTCTGCCCTCGGGACGCGGGCCCCAATCCCCCACGAGGCCACCCTGGGCCTGCGCACCACGCCGATCGCGGGCACGGACGACCCCCGAGTGCGGCTGGCGGCGAGCCTGTCGGACGGAGGAGTCCTGGGCGCCAGGGGCTGGCAACCGCGGCCTGCGTCCCTCGGCCGCGTCCTCCGACGAGAGGTTGGGGGAGGGGAGGCAGGGAGTAGAGGGAAGAGAGAAGGGAAAGAAGAGGAGGAGGAGGAAGAGGAGGAGGAGGAGGAGGCGGAGGAGGAGGAGGAGGGGGAGGAGGAGGAGGAGGAGGAGGAGGAGGAGGAGGAGGAGGAGGAGGAGGAGGAGGAGGAGGAGGGGGAGCGAGATGAGCGACAGGAGGAGAGGAGGAGGAGGAGGATGAGGAGGGAGGAGAGAAGGCTGAATGGGGGAACGAGGGGAGTAGGAGGAGGAGGAGGAGGAGGAGGAGGAGGAGGAGGAGGAGGAGGAGGAGGAGGAGGAGGAGGAGGAGGAGGAGGAGGAGGAGGAGGAGGAGGAGGGGGGGGGGCGGAGGAGGAGGAGGAGGCGGAAGGAGGAGGAGGACCAGTGTAAACCCAAGGATCCTTAACGATGTTGGAGTAGACCCTCCCTCCAAGCTCCCTCTTCACAGGCCCCTGCAACGGTTCATTTCCATTGATGGAACTGCCTGTCCGGAAGACACCCGGTTGAAGGCCCTGAAGCATGCCAAACATTGTTCTCGGGATTGCAACGCCACGCATAAACCTGACAGTTGCGTCTTGACGATCCTGAATCGTGCCAGAACGCTATTCCCAGGGCTGCAGCACAGAGAATCAACGTAATTGCGGCACCCGCATAATCCTGAATCCTTCCAAACCATTATTTCTGGCACGTTGATGATGGGAACCCGTGGAACTCTTGCAAAGGTTGTAAACGAATGTGCGCGGCGCTAAAGCGAGAGCCACATTTTGAAAAGGAACCGCTCTTCATCCGTGAAGCCCCTGCAACTTCTTAAAAAAGAATGTGCGCCGCGCTACGGCGCGAGCCACATTTTGAAAACCACCGGTTCTCAATCCGTGAAGCTCTTAGCAAATTGTTAAAACGAATCTGCGCCGCGCTAAGGCGAGAGCCACATTTTGAACACGACCCGCGCTCAATCCGTGAAACCTTTGCAAATAGTTGAAACGAATGTGCGCCGCGCTAAGACGAGAGCCACATTTTGAAAACGACCCGCCTTCAATCCGTGAAACTCCTAGCACAGTTTTAAAACGAACGTGCGTCGCGCCAAGGCGAGAGCCACATTTTGAAAACTACCCCCCTCAATCCGTGAAACCCTTGCATGTTGGTCCCAACTCCTCATGTGGTGTTGGTACTCGTTTTGAATAGAGCAGTGTGGTCTCCACCTCCTCCTCCTCCTCCTCTCCTCCTCCTCCTCCTCCTCCTCCTCCTCCTCCTCCTCCTCCTCCTTCCTCCTCCTCCTCCTCCTCCTCCTCCTCCTCCTCCTCCTCCTCCTCCTCCTCTCCTCCTTCTCTCCTGTTTCCTGTGTTCCCTTCTCCTCTTCTCTCGTACCGTCTGCGATCTGCGAAACTGTCGCCACTTTCGCGGGCTCCTGGGAGGCCCAGCGGAGGTGGGTCCCACGCGGATCACCTCGGGACGTCGCCACCCCCTTGGGGGGCTTGTGATCTGCGCAACTGTCGCCACCTTCGTGGGCTCCTGGGAGGCCCAGCGGAGGTGGGTCCCACGCGGACCACCTCGGGACACCGCCGCTCCTTGCGGGGCCTGCGATCTGCGCAACTGTTTCGTGGGCTCCTGGGAGGCCCAGCGGAAGTGGGTCCCACGCGGACCACCTCGGGACCTCGCCGCCCCCTGGGGGGCTTGCGATCTGCGCATCTGTTGCCACCTTCGTGGGCTCCTGGGAGGCCCAGCGGAGGTGGGTCCCACGCGGACCACCTCGGGACCTCGCCGCCCCCTGGGGGGCTTGCGATCTGCGCAACTGTCGCCACTTTCGCGGGCTCCTGGAAGGCCCAGCGGAGGTGGGTCCCACGCGGACCACCTCGGGACCTCGCCGCCCCCTGGGGGGCTTGCGATCTGCGCAACTGTCGCCACTTTCGTGGGCTCCTTGGAGGCCCAGCGGAAGTTGGTCCCACGCGGACCACCTCGGGACCTCGCCGCCCCCTTGGGAGCTTGCGATCTGCGCAACTGTCGCCACGTGCGTGGGCTCCTGGGAGGCCCAGCGGGTCCTTCAGAATGCCAGTCAGCATTGAGTGGTCCTGAGTATCATCGCCACATGTATAGAAAGGTTTGGGTACGTCACGTGACAGGGTATGTTTTCAATAATGTGCGCTGCGCTAAGGCGAGAGCCACAATTTTAACACGACCCGCCCTCAATCCGTGAAACTCTTGCAAATGTTTGGAACGAACGTGCGCCGCGCTAAGGCGAGAGCCACATTTTGAAAACGACCCGCCCTCCATGTTTGAAACTGCTGCCAATTCTTAAGTTTCAGAGCCATAAATGGTGAGGACGTCTCAGGCGAAACGCCCGGCGCGCCCTAAATATTGGCCTCCTGGTGCGACAGGGAGAATTTAATCATGAGGACAAGGAATGGAGGAGGAGAAGGCGAAGGAGGAGGAAGAGGAGGAGGAGGAGGAGGACGAGGAGGATGAGGATGAGGAGGAGGAGGAGGAGGACGAGGACGAGGAGGATGGGGCGGATGCGGAGGCGGTGGCGGAGGCGGAAGCGGAGGCGGAGGCGGAGGCGGAGGCGGAGGAGGAGGAGGAGGAGGAGGAGGAGGAGGAGGAGGAGGAGGAGAAAGAATGAGGAGGGAGGAGGGAGGAGGGGAGGGAGGGAAGGAGGGAGGAGGGAGGAGGAGGAGGAGGAAGGATGAAGAGGAGAGGAGGAGGAGGAGGAGGAGGAGGAGGAGGAGAAGGGGGAGGAGAGGAGGGAGGAGGAGGAGGGATGGGATAGGGAGATGGATGGGATGGGATGGGATGGGATGGGATGGGAGAGGAGCTGAGAGGAAAGGAGAGGAGGAGAGGAGACCGGAGGAGATGAGAGGAGACGATAGGACGAGAGGAGAGGAGAGGATAATAGAGGAGAGGAAAGAAGAGGAAAGGATAGTAGAGTCGACGAAACAGGGGAGGAGAGGAGAGGAAAGGAGAGGAGAGCAGAGGGGAGGAAAGAAGAGGAAGAGGTGGCGGGGGAGTGAGATGAGCGAGAGGAAGAGGAGGCGGAA